AAAAAAAAAAAAAAGAATGCTAAGTAGTAAGACACTGCCAAATGTCGACACAAACACAGTTGTGAGACACTGATATATCAAGGTTATAAAACCTTACGAAGCTGTTTGTACAGTGCTGCCAATGTAAGCGCACAGTGGCAAGTTCGCGAACTTAAATGTCAGCTCTCATACAGGAATCGCCTCCAAAAGATTCCTTATGTTCCCTTGGTTTTTGTTTTTTTTGTATGCTAAGAACACTCAACAGGAGAGCTACCTTCTTACCAAGTTTTTAAGTACAACACCATATTGTTAACTACAGGCACCGCGTTGTACAGCTCATCTCCGGAACATATGCATCTTGTATGGCTGTAACTTTATATCCATTTAATAACGCCCTGTTTCCCACCTCCCTTCATCCTCTGGCCACCACTATAATATTTTCTACATCTACAAGTTTGATTACTGTAGATACTTCATGTAAGTGGGATCATGCAGTATTCATCCCACTGTGACTGACTTATTTCAGTTAGCCTAATATATTCCAGGTCCATCCATGATGCTGCAAATGGTACAATTTCTTTCTTTTATAAGGCTGAATAATAGTGACTGTATGTATATACTGGTTTCTCTCTCCAGTCATCTCTTAATGTACATTTGGGTCATTTCCACACCTTGGCTATTGTAATTAATGTTGCAATAAACATGGACATGCGATATCTCAGATTTCAAACTATATACAAAGCTATAGTAAAAAAAATAGCATGGTATTGGCATAAAAGCAGACATATACATCAGTGGAACAGAACAGAGAACCCCAAAATAAACCTATGCATTTATGGTCAATTAATTTACGACAAAAGGGCCAAGAATATACAATGAGGAAAGGACAGTCTCTTCAAGATGGTGATGTGAAAACTGGACAACCACATGCAAAACTGAAACTGGACCGCTATCTTACACCATACACAAAAATCAATTCAAAATAAATTAATGTCTTAAACATAAAACCTGAAACCAGAAAACATAGGTGGTAGCTCCTTAACATCAGTCTTGGGGATGATTTCTTGAATTTGACACCAAAAGCAATTGCATCAAAAGCAAAAGTAAAAGTAGTGGGACTACACTGAACCCAAAAGCTTCTGTAGAGCAAAGGAAACCATCAATACAATGAAAAGGCAACCTATAGAATGGGAGAAAATATTTGCAAATCATGTATCTGACAAGGGGTTAAACACATCCAAAATATATATTAAAAAAAACAACCTCATACCACTCAACAGCAAAAAAACAAACAATGCAGTTATAAAATGGGCAGGGAAGCTGAATAAACATTTTTCCAAAGAAGACATACAAATAGGCAACAGGTACATGAAAAGGTGCTCAACATCACTAATCATCAGGAAAATGTAAATCAAATGCAAATACAAATGAGTTATTACCTCACTTTAAATTGGTACAACCACTATGGAAAACAATATGGAGGTTCCCAAAAATATTTAAAAATTGAACTACCAGATAATCCAGCAATCTCACTTCTGGGTTTAGAGCCAAAGGAAATGAAGACAGACTCTCAAAGAGATATGTGCATTCCCATCTTTATTACAGCATTATTCACAATAGCCAAGACATAAAAACAATCTACTTGTCCATCAACAGATGAATGGATAAAAATGTGATACACACACACACACACTCATATATATATATATATATATATATATATATATATATATATACACACACACACACACACACACAATGAAATATTATTCAGCCTTGAGAATGAAGAAAATTCTGTCATTTGCAAAAAAAAAATTAACCTTGAAGGCCTTATGCTAAGTGAAATAAGTCAGACAGAGAAAGGCAAATACTATATCACTTATATGTGAACTCTAGAAAGACCAAACTCATATAAACAGAGAGTGAACAGTGGCTGAGTGGGTGGAAGGAACAACCATGGAGAGATGTTCAAAGGATACAAATTTCCAGTTACAAAATGAATTAAGTTCTGGGGAGCTAATGTACAACATGGTGATTATAGTTAATAATATTGTCTTACATCCTTGAAAGTTGCTGAGAGTAAATCTTAAATGATCTAATCTCAAAAAAGAAATGGTAATTATGTGACATAAGGGAGGTGTTAGCTAATGCTATTGGTATCAATCATTTTGCAATAAGTGTATCAAATCAACACATTGTATACCTTAAACTTACACAATGTTACATGCCAATTATACCTCAATAAAGCTGGAAACAAAGTTTATCCCTAATTTTTTTAGATGCTTTTCAGACAATTCATTGTTAGTGTATAGAAATGCAACCAATTTTTGAGTGTTGATTTTGTATCCTCCAACATTACTGAATTCGTTGATTAATTCTAAGTTTTTTTCAGTGGAGTCTTTAGGGTTTACTGTGTATAAGATCATGTCATCTACAGAGACAATTTTACTTCTTTTCCTATTTGGATGGCTTTTATTTCTGTTTCTTGCCTAATTTCTCTGGCTAGGACTCCTAGTACTATGTTGGAAAGAAGTATGAGGAGTGAGTATCCTTGTCGTTTTCCTGATCTTAGAGGAAAAGCTTTGTTTTTCACCACTAAATATGTTTTGTTTTGTTTTTTTAAGATTTTATTGGGGAATTGGGGGAGGGGAACAGCATTGAGGAATCGGGGAAAGGGAACAGACAAGTTGCTGTCCTTTTGTTCTTCAGTCTAGTTGTGGAGGACGTCACTTCACTGGCCCATGTTGGTATTATCATTGCGCTCTTCCCGGGTGAGGCAGTTGCTCACCGGCCATTGGACACACGAAAGCGCAAGTCAGCTACCGGCCAGCCCCACTGCATACTGCGACTCACAGCAGCCCAGCTCCAGGTCGAGCTGTTGTTCACCATCTTAGCTGTAGAGGGCGCAGCGTCACTGGCCCCCATATGTGGGATCCAAACCACGGCCCTGCTGCTCAGAGCTGGCGTCCCAAGCCAACTCCTAACCAACGCGCCACTCAGCCGACCCACCACTGAGTATGTTAACAGTGGGTTTGCCACATATGGACTTTATTTATTATGTAGAGGTACATCCCTTTAATACCTAGTTTGTTGAGGATTTTTATCATAAGAGGGTGTTGGATTTTGTCAAATGCTTTTTCTGCGTCTTTGAGATGATCATGTGATTTTTATCCTTTGTTCTTACAATGTGGTTTATCACATTGATTTATTTTAGTATACTGAACCATCCTAGCATCTGAGAGATGAATCCTAATTCATCTTGGTGTATGATCCTCTTCATGTTCTGTTGGGTTTGGTTTGCTAGTATTTTGCTAAGGATTTTTACATCTGAATTCATCTGGGATACTGGACTGTAGTTTTCTTGTAGTGTCTTTGTCCTTGGTGCCAGAGTATTGCTGGCCTCATAAAATGAATCTGGAAGTGTTCCTTCCCCTTCAGTTTTTTTTGGAAAAGTTTGAGAATTGGTGTTAATTCTCTTTAAACCTTTGGTAGAATTCACCTGTGAAGCCATCTGGTCCTAGACTTTTATTTGTTGGGAGGTTTGTGATTACTGATGTAATCTCCTTATTCGTTTCTAATCTGTTCTGATTTTCTGGTTCTTCGTGACTCAGTCTTGGTAGGTTGCATGTTTCCAAGTATTTCTTATAGGTTATTCACTTTGTTGGCATATTATTATTTCCAGTAGTCTCATCTCTTATGATCCTGCTGTTTCTGTGGCATCAGTTGTAATGTCTCCTCTTTCATATCTAATTTTATTTTTTTGAGTCTTCTCTCTTTGTTAATCTAGCTAAAGGTCTGTCAATTTTGTTCATCTTTTAAAGAACACCAACTCTTTATTTCATTAATTTTTTTCTATTGTTTTTCTAGTCTCTATTTCATTTATTTTTGCTCTAATCTTTCCTTCTGCTAACTCATGTGGAAATTAACACACTCCTGAACAACAAATGGGTCAAAGAAGAAATCAAAATGGAAATCAGAAATTATCTGGAGAAAAATGAAAATGAAAACACAACATACCAAAACTTATGGGATGCAGCAAAAGCAGTATTAAGAGGGAAATTGATAGCAATAAATGCCCATATTAAAAAGGAAGAAAATTCTCAAACAATGCACACCTCAAAGAACTAGGAAATAAAAACAAACTAAGGACTTTTTGTTTACTGAGTATATGTTCATTAGCACTCTTTCATGTTTCTGGTTTTGCATGTTCTACTCCCATTTTCTAGGTCAGCACTGTCCAGAAGAAATATGAGAGCCACAAATGCAAGTTATAAATGTAATTTTAAATTTTCTAGTAGTCACATCCTCACAAAAAAACAGATGAATTTTATATTTTTAACCAAATATAGCTGAAATATTATCATTTTAACATATAATCAATATTTTAAAAAAAATTTTTTTTCCCCTGTACTAACTCTTTGAATCCAGTGTTTTTTATACTTATGTCACAACTCAGTTTGGACTATCTGTGTTTCAAATGCTCATTAGTTATATGTGCCTAATGGCTACTATCCTTTGCAGGTCTAGTTGTTCTTCCCCTAGGCTCCCTTGCATATAATCTGTACTCACTGAACGAATGGTCAACCACACTTACCTCTTACACTCTACAGTGGTTACTCATCACTCTATACACAGCTGTAATTCATTTATTCATCAGATACTGTTTCACTTCAAGTGCAATCATGAGATTTCTCTAAACTGGCTTTCCTGTCCTGAATTCCAACTGTGTCCTGTAAGGGTCCATAAGAACTAAGGCTAACCATGAGAATAACATGTTCACATATTCCATCTCATACCTACTTCACTTCAAAAGCTCATTTAGTACAATGGCAGGTGAATTTGCTATTCATATAACTTAAACACTAATATGATATAACTCTTATTATTACTCCTCCACTTATCATGCCAAACCGTTTCCCTCAAAGTTCTATTCTTTTATTATAAAAGTTTTAACTATTCTGTTGTTTAAGAACCTAGACATTCATTACATCAGGCTGGGAGGGAGCACATAGAGTAAAAACAGCATAAGTTTCAGATTCTAGTTTTGTACCATCGATGACCCTTTCAGCAAGCAACTTTTTGAATGAGAATATTGTCTACATGCAGTTCTCATAGTTTGTGAAAACTCAATGAGGATTTAAACTAAAGAGCACAGAACAGTGTGAGTTCTAGTCCCTTTACCCACTTCCTCCATTACGTCTTTGTAAACCTCTCCTTTGAGTCAGAGATCATTTTTTAATTAATGATGAAAATCAATATTTTAGGTCACATCTAAAATACTTCTCAATTCAAAAAAAAAGTGCCAGGAAAAAGTGTCAAATCAAAATTATCACATATGTTCTCATTACCTGCACATATTTGGGTGGAAATTTTTGTCTGAGGTCTAGGAGTAAAGCATCCACACGCTGCCTCTGGAAAATAGAGCTTGGTTCTTCTTTCCTTTTGGTTTTAGGTTTGACTTTATCTATTAAAATATGAAGTCCCAATCAAAACACTGCCTAGTTTGGTGTTTCATATTTTACAAATCTTTGTTCAGCATGATAGACTCAAACTTCATTATTTTTAATGGCTGCTAGTTCAAAGATAGATAATCTCCCAAATAAATCAAACACAGCATATACACAGAGTGTTCTAATGCTCCCTCTTAAATGAAGTTAACATTCTAACATTTAAAAAGCTAATATGTCTTTTAAAGACACTTTAGTTTGCATATATAAGCATAATAGACAATAGAATTCTAAGGCTAGAGTTTTCCATAATTACTGAAATCACAATCCAGATTATCTTTTGTATATTTTAAGTATATTAAATGGTCTTTTCCCATAAAACCTAATAGGTGCAAATGGAAAATGCAACTTTTACCAAGTTACCATACTCAATTATGAAGACTATATATAATTCACCGAAGAACAGGACAAACCAAACAACAGATCAGATCATCAAGATAAAAAAAGAACTTACAAGAGAAATTCTGAAATTAATGACATGTTGGAATTTTCCCTGGGAGGGGAGATATTGGGGGACTGCCTCTAAATGAAGGGTTTCAGGTAAGTTTTACTCCAAACATTTTAGGGTAGACGCAAAGAGCTTTCAGTATTTAACTGATAAAAACTTTCCTACGCCCAATGTTGAAGCCTGCACCACTATGAAGAATAAATACAACTGTATCTGACGGACCATTCATCCCACAGGTCTGAATTCTATTTAAAGGCTACTTTTCCATCAATAATTTATCCTGAGTTGCTAGTTCTCAGAGAAGGAACAACAGACTACAGGTTTACCTTTATAAACACATTTCTAGAAGTACTCTTATTGATATAATACAGCATAAAACAAATAGCAGATTAGCAGCTATGGAAACTAGGGAACCAAAAAAAAAAAAAAGAAAGAAACTAGGGAACCTGGTGCCACAACAACTGATAACATGGAAAGATCAGAAAATAGACTGGTCATCTGGAGATAAGGCTCTAAGAGCATCTCCACTACTTTTAAGACTGGAGGGATTCAGGTTCCAAACTTCAAGATGATTCAAGTTAGGTAAGCAAGAAATATTGTTACTCATTCCTCATCACTGATTTTCTCTGTATGCTCCAAATATGTAAAACCTTGAATCCATTTATCAAAGATTACCACTTACCCTAACAAATTAAATTTTATATCTGTTCTTATAGGAAAGCTATCATCACATCTAGATATATGAATCGTAGCTATGACAACTTCGTCATCCTATGAAGAATCTTCCTAAGAAGTAAAACACACTTACAAATCAATAGCTATCTTCCTTAGGAAAACAGCTTCATTTTTAGAGCATTAAAAAGTACTTCAGGAGGGTCTAGGTGTCTCTACCTACCTTGCTCTTCATGGTCTTTGAAGTGCCACCAATACCCTTTGGAAGGATGATATCGACAGTATGACATAGCTTCATCAAAAGCTGACTGAATGCCGTGTACTGCAGTAAGCTTGAAAAAAGAAAATGAATTCTGAACTATTCATTAGATTAACCAAAATTTCCAAAGTAAATATAAAAATATTACAATTGCAAAGACAGTAATTTCCTGTTTTTTAGAACGTGATTCTCTATATAGCTGGGGCTGTGGTTTATACTTTTAACATAAAGTTGGCCCACAGTAACCAATGCTCAAAATATTCTAATACTCAAAGCTTTATATCACTTACACAAGGGAGAGGAGCTCCTGTTTGATTCTTGGAAGCAAGTAGCTCAATTAAAAGTTTTCTTTAGTATTTAAAGAATGCGAAGACACTCACCACTCTAGAATTTATAACTGATCCCAAGTCTGGTGCCTGATAGATCACTCCAGCAATAATATAGTAATCAGCCAGTGGAATAACTAAAGCAGTGTGGGGGTAAAAAAAGTTTATGAATATAGCTATGTACATAAACTATTAAATAGATTTCCATTAAAAGAACAACTAAAATTTGACATTCTCCCATATTAAAGCTTAAGGCAGGGTCTGGCATTTCTTGTTTCTGCAAATAAAGTTATATTGGAAAAAAGCTATACCCATTCATTTTCGTTATTATCTAAGGCTGCTATGGCACAATTATATTTGTCACAGAGACAAGGAGGCCCACAAAGCCTAAAATATTTACCCTCTGAACCTTCACAGAAAACGTTGGCCAATTCTTGCCCTTGAGCAATGATTCTCAAACTTTAATGTGTATCTGAATCACCTGAGTATCTTGTTAAAATCAGATTCTTACTTATAAGGATGGTGCATTTCTAACAAGTTCCCATGTGATACAATGCTGCCATCAGTCAACCACACTTTGGGGAGTAAGGCCTTACAGCAAGAGATTCAGGGCACAGGGTGAAGATATTAAATGTGCTGAACTTGCCTCTGTGCCCCAGTCCTGGGTTCTGAGGAACAAAATAGCTGCTAGTGAGGCTGGTGCCATCCTGTGTAGTTTTTATACCTTGAGCCCTCTCATCATGGAAATCTTGTCCCTGGTCTTGCCTTTGTTCTGAAGTTCTCTTTTTCTCTGGGCTGAGACTCTAGATCTTGGATTTTGAAACTAAATTTAAATTCTTGACTCTGGAACCACAACTTCATTAACAAGTCATTCTCTAGAATCAATACCAGGGTGAAGGTTGTTCCTAACTGTCTTGATGAGGGCATCTATCTAATTAGGAGATGTAGCTGATCATCTCTGGAAATAGGCGACTAACTCTTTGATTGAAAATCAAATCTAAATACTATACTCTTTAGTGTGGTTTCTAAATAAGTTTTTGTTTGGTAATATAACCCAGGTAAAAGTTTTGGTTGAATGTATCAATGAGAACTTTCAACCCTCTATGAATTTGGTACAACTGCATCTACCATGTATTTTGTAACAGAATTAGACTCAGTGGACAGAGTTGACAAGAAAGGTTACTTGGGATACTCGAGGTTCAGCTGGAATTCCAACGACTGCATTCACAGGAAGAGGTGGTTGCAATATAGCAAGTTGTTCTAGTAGAACTTGCAGAGTTGTCCTAGGGCATGTTGGAAGACCCCTGGTGTCCAAGTATGTGACTTGTGGAACTTGGCTTTGAAATGTTTCCTAAGTGATGAAGCTATGCCTGCTGTACCAGCCTGCCTAGACAATTTATACAAATAATGATTATAGTGGAAACCTGATTTCCTTCCAAGAGTCTGGAATTTTAGCAAGCAGAGGACGCCTACATAACTAGCCCTCAACAAAAATTCTGGACTCAAGAGTCTCAAATAGACTTCTCTGAACAGACCTATTACCCACATGGGGCTGAATTTCACTGTTGGAGGGTGTACTTGGTGTGTCCCCTCGCAGGATGGAGAATTATCGGAAGCTTTCACATGTATTCCTCCAGAGCCCACCTGAAACGACTTTTTCCTTTACTGATCTGGCTGTGTATTCTTACAGTGTTGCCATAACAAATCTTAGACATGACTGACTATATGCTGAGTCTGCCCAGTCATCCTAATAAAGCACTGAACATGTATGTAGCCTTGGGGATCCCCAAAACAGAAACCAATCCAAAAGGAGGTGGAGGAGGAGGAAGAAGAGGAAGAGAAGGGGAAGGAGAAGGTGGTGGTGGAGGAGGTGAAGGAGGCGGGGGATGTGGAGGAGGAGGAAGAAGAGAACATACAGCTCAGAAAGTAAATAAATCATTGTATTTTAAGAAGAAAATAATACCTGAAGTTTATACATTTTACCTTGGGTAGGGGACTGTCGTTGTTGTTTCCGAATGATAAAAAGAATGGGCTCTTGAGCATGTAAAAGGATGTATTCCACTCCAACCATCTGACTGAAAACAGAACAGACATCCAGAGATCTATGAATGTCCTATAATTCTGTTGAACATCCGTATTATTATATAAAAGTATAGCAACATTGTAAATAGGAGTAAAACTGCCAGTGTTTGATATTAAAAACTGGCTGTTTAATAAAACTATTTTACCAGGTAGGTGGATTACAAATAAAGTAAGATTTGGTTTTTAAACAACACAATTTCTTTACAAAATTCATGAAATTAAACCTGAGTATTTTCAGTCATGAAAGTACACTGGAAAGTATGTTTCAAAAAAGGCAACCAAGATATCATGAAGCTTCCTGACTAAAGCAATCTATACATATACATAAAAGATAAAAATATACATGAAGAGGGGCCAGCCGAGGGGCGCGTTGGTTAAGAACTGCTTGGGATGCCAGAGAGCCCCGGTTCGGATCCCACATATGAGGGCCAGTGACACTGCCCTCCACAGCTAAGATGCTGAACAACAGCTCAACCTGGAGCTGGGCTGCCGTGAGTCACCGGCGACGGCGTAGGCTGCAGACCCTGTGGCAGTGGGTTGCCGTGGGCTACCGTGTGTAGCCAGCAGCCAGCGTGAGTGGCCAGCAGCCGCAGTGAGCAGCCGTCCAGAAGCTGGCGACTGATCTGCCTCGCCCAGGAAGAGTGCAATGATGGTGCCAACTTGGGCCAGTGAAGCAACATCCTCCACAACTAGACTGAAGAACAAAATGACAGCAACTTGTCTGTTCCCCTTCACCGATTCCCCAGCGCTGTTTCCCTCCCTCAATTCCCCAATAAAATCTTAAAAAATAAAAAAAAAAATACATGAAGATTATATATGCCTTCACCATATATGTCAAATACACTCTACTGAACTAGAAAACAAAAATCTTATCCTTGGCCCAACACATTTTTGATCTGACAGATTGTTTAAAAGCAACAATAAATTGTCTTAATAGTTACATTTGTCTCATAATAAAAGTTATTTAAAATACCATAAAAATTTAAGTTCATGAATTCACCCTGATGTTTAGTTGACAGATAAAAAATTTTATCATACAGCTGTTTCAGAAACTTTTGTAACAGTAATAAATTCTTAATTATTTAGCATCCTAAGAGGCTTGCTTTGCATCTGTTTGGCTAAAATTTTATTTTTTTATTTGTCATATGAAGAAAAATCTACTATAAACCAGACTATGGTTTAAGACATTAAGTTAGATGTAGAGGAGACAATAAATATAGTTCTCTGGTTGAGGATAACAGTTGCATTGCTAAAATCATTCATCAGATCTACATCTAAACCCCACTGCTGTATTTTAATTGGATAGTGATATATGAAGTTATACAGAAAAGACTTCCTAGGTAACAAGTGACTACTAATAATTCCTTTGCATGTCAAATTTGTTACAAACCCAAACAAAACTCCAGTGCTTCCCAAACTCTCTGTACTTCACAATCCACAACTTGAAAGAACTGTTCACTGCAGAATCTCTAGTTGGTAGAGATACTACCGTCTTATAATAACTTACTTTAAGTGTTCTAATGTTAGCCTCTGCATTTTGACCACTTCATTATTACATGTCCTGTCATAAAAAGGATTACTTCTTTCTGAAAAGTAATCCAGGACACTTCCACTGTTCAAAATAGGGATCCAGGAACTGTCAACCCAAGAGATTCCCAGCAGATTATCTGTAGGAAAGAAACAAAACGGTAAAGATGAGAAAAGAGAAAAAAATCCAATCCAACAAACATTTATTATGCATCTAATGTTGTAGGCACTATGAATAGAAGGATAACATGGATCCTAACCTACATGCTCTCATAATCTAACAGAAGAGGTAAGTATACAAGAAAGCAATGACAATTCAACATAATTAAGTACTACTAGAGGTATGAATAAATGTATCATGAGACACAATGGAGGGAGCAGAACACCTTACCTAAGAGAACTAGTGATTTTTCAAGGGGTTGAGAAGCAGGTGGGTTTTAGCACTATATGTTAAAGAATAAATAGAGATTCACCCTGAAAAAAGAGGGGCAAAGTAATTCTAAGCAGAGAGAATGCATATAAAAGGTAGAAAAACATAAATATATATTATATATTTGGAGAGTAATTTGATTAGGTGGAGAAGTGGATTTGAACTCCAGAGGGTTCTTCTGAAAAACTGGAAATACTAAGTTTTTATATGTTGGCAACTAATTCAAAAGTTTTCAAACAACATGCATACCAAAGAAAACACATCCACAGCCACCAGTGTGAGACTTCCCAATTAGGGACACAGAAATAAATTAAGAAGCTAATATTATAAATGAGATAATAATGATGCAAAAGTTAAGGGGCAAATGAGAAGTAGAATGCCCTTAATTACAGCCATACAAGTTCATATTTTAGAGTAGAATTAAATCTTAAATTTTTCAAAATGCAGAAACAAAACTAAGACATGGTAAATAGAGCTAGATACCTTTAATTAATGAGCTTTTATTGGTTACTGAATGCAATGATGTTTCCATACCACTGACTACTAAATCCCACAAGGTGTGAGTCATGAACATCAAAAAGCCTGTATAATACTGGTTGAAGGAAGAATTAAAACTTCAACCTCTCCTATACTGTAACTGCTTCCGGCATTTTTAAAGGAATCAGGCCCTAATCCAAGGTGACAAGCGGTTGTGAGCAGAATGAATTAAATAAAAAGTAATTCTAGAACGGTAAAATGTGCTGTGCGCATTATAAAATAGGGGAAACAAATAAATGAAGTACGTTAATGACCGAATAATCAGTACAAATCATTAAGATGGTTTGTTATAAATGGATCATGCCATATCCAAATATATAACAGGCCAGGAAATAACATTTTCAGAAAAAGATTTTCTAATGAAAAGCAACTAAGGATAATCATTATTCTCAGCTTGGAACACTACAACCCAGTTATTAGTTTTGTTTAAAGAAAATCCATTACACATTTCTCCATTTCCTTAGGAATGATTATATAAAAGCATTTGTAGGACAATTTTAGGTTTGTTTCTCACTTATAGTGGAAACAATGTCTATCTGGTGTCATAACATGCTATGGACAATAAACTGTTATATTACAGATCATTTCCCCAGAGAAGAGTAATCTGCAGAAATAAATAGAAGTATAAGTACAGATCCTACCTACCAACAATTATGGATAGTCAGTAGTTATGGGCATGAGCTGATAAGGGCCTGGTGGAAGGCAATGGCAGTGACAGGAAGATAAGGACCAAGCCACCAGTTATCGCTAGACCTCCTCTCCTTGCCGCCTCCTCTCTCACTTGCTTCAGCCATACCCACCTCCTTGCTGTTCCTCTACTACATCAGACACATCCCACCTTTGGGCCTTTGTAATGACTCTAACAAATCTAAGTAAAAAGTAAAACATAATGAAAGTGAAATAGGTGAAAATAGTCTGATGGACTAAATGTTCCTTTTATTCAGTAGCAAGGGAGTATGTTCACATAGTCCAAATACAGCTCTCTAACAATCGGCAAATGATGAAATTAGGTACTTGAAACTCTAACTTAGAATGAAAAACACACGCATAAAAACATTATCCAGAAATGCTGAAGATCACTGGACATTTTAAGTAACTATAAATGAAAATATATTTGTAATAAGCACGCTAGAGTCCACTTTGGTTAATACAGAGAAAAGAATCTCAAACACTTCCCTTTAAAAATCAAGTATACAGGGCCTGCCAAGTGACGCGTTGGTTAGGAGTTGGTTTGGGACGCCGACTCTGAGCAGCAGGGCACCGGTTTAGATCCCACATGAGGGCCAGTGACGCTGCGCCCCCTACAGCTAAGATGGTGAACAACAGCTCGACCTGGAGCTGGGCTGCCATGAGTCTCCAGCATTGGCATAGGCTGCAGTGGGGCTGGCCCACAGCTGGCGAGCGCTTTTGTGAGCTGCTGTGACCGGCAGTCCAGAGGCCAATGAGCGGATGCCTCACCGGGAAGAGGGCAATGATCACAATACCAACATGGGCCAGTGAAGCGACGTCCTCCACAACTAGACTGAAGAACAAAAGGACAGCAACTTGTCTGTTCCCCTTCCCTGATTCCCCAATCCTGTTCCCCTCCCCCAATTCCCCAATAAAATCTTAGAAAAAAATAAAAATAAAGTATACAAACAAAACAACCCTATGTAAATATGATTAGGAGCATATTACAATTAAACATCTTTTGAGGAAAGTCCTTTTTCTTTAATCTGCTGAAGAGGGGTGAATCTCAGCTTGCACCTAGATACAAAAATTCACCTTCTTTTAAGAAAAAGTATCACCAATGGAAATAAATCTACATTGAGAGTTTCATATAAGTATAGGAAGTTGTGTGGGAGCCACCACAACAGTAAAAGATAAAGATATTCACAGGTGCTCTCTCACTCCAATGAATTTTTCCTGGGAACTTCCATGATACCTCCTCCTAACCTGGAGGAACCTGGTCTGTTTAGAACAACGTTCTCATGTTTCGGCTATTTTTTAATCGCCCTTTCCTTCACTCTTTGGAATCCCAGAGCACAAGTCCTAGGCTTTTTTTTTTTTTTAATTCATTGGAACAGATGTGTGTAGGTGTGCTGAGAAGAGAGTGTATGGCCTAATGCTACCCGAGATCAAGTAGCAATGAAGGAGATGCTTCCCCATACATTTGTTCACTTGACTCAACAAATGAGTCCCCTTTACAGTTCAGCTGTGGAGAAGAAATGACCTCTGTCCTCAGTAATTGTTGGGTGTTCGATGGAAGGTATTAAAGACTCAAAAATAAAACTTACAGAAGAAAATCTTGGGGATTCATGCCCAGGGACGGACAGGGCGCGATGTCAGAAACTAGGCAGCTCCCACGCCAAGCCCCAAGACACGCACAAATCAGGTTGGTTCATTAACCCACGCACCACTCTGCCCAAAGGCCTTTCCTTCACCTGGATACAACAGCCCCAATATTTGCTGTAGAAATAAACATATGTATAAAACAATACTGTAGATTTGAGGGCTCAAAACCCAGAGCTTTTTCCAATCCCTTCATTTCGAAGCTTCTTTTGAAAAAGGGAAAACTATGCTATGCAACTTTTCGCCAGATTGAAGCCTTGGGTCATCCACAGAAACCATTCAAAAGAACTTGGGAGACATCACCAAAGAACCTGCACCCTGCCCCCGCGAGCTATAAAGCCCCAAACCAGACCTCAGACAATCAGGAAACAAAGGCTAACAGCACAGATTACCTCGGATATCTACCGCCGCCATAATTCCAACAGCGTTCGCAGGTTCTCCTTCCGGCGCAGAGAAAACGTAACAACGTGACGACGGAAGCAGCGGGTTGCAGAACCTAAGGACCCTGAGGAGAAAGACAGAGAGGAGCGGAGACCGCGAGGCCAGGAC